AGTCTTAGATTGCTAGGGTTAGGAATCTCGCCGACAGCTCACATAGCTAAGGCTACTCTTGTTGTACCGTTCTTACGCAAATTAAGAATAAGATCCTTCTTGCTCTCAATCTCGTTTTTCTATACTTTATTTCGTATTCATCGTTGTCTTGATTGTTCTTGTGCGGTTCCGCAGATAGCCGGGTCCTCTAGGAAATTAGAATTTACTCTAAATTCCCTTATTTTCGATATCTTGACAGTAGATGAATTTCGGTTCCAACAAATTTGAAGTGAGTTAGAATGATTTGATTTTTGATTAGCCTTAGATGATTTTAAGTGAATTTAAAATTTTGATATAATTTTTTTAACCACTTTAAAATCTCATCTAAAACTATGAAATTTGGACTTTTGTAACTATAAACTTCACTCAAACACTTTAGAAAAACTTGAAACATTTTAAGCTTTAGATCTTTTCAGTAAAATAAATATCAAAATGCTTTATGAAATGATAACACTAAACCTTTTTAAAATTCATATTTGAATAATAATGGATTTGTCATTTACAAAACTCACCACAAACTTCTATTTGAAAAGATTGGCTATTTACTTTTTCATAATAAACAATATACTTATTCAGTTTTGCATCATCGTTTATACTCTTTTTAGTATTTCTTCTTTCCACAAAGAGTGTCAATTTGACACTTTTTACATAAATGTTAAATACCATAAACTTGACTTCATTAGTATACTAGTGGTTTATCTGCGCGAAGCGCGGAATGTTTGTTAATTTTATAACATAATATTTAACATGTGTTATAAAATCTAAATGTAATTAATACTTGTGCATATGAGCTAACAAACTTCGTATTTCAGTTCATCTAATATTGTTGTCATTATTGTCAAAACGATACCTCAATTGAATTAATCATCTACATCTTTAAAGTTTATCTATATTTATAGATTATTTGGATTATAACGTGTATGTCACATATTGTTATTTTGTGTGTTCTAAATAATTTTTTGTAAGCAGAAAAATAATATGCCATAAAATTCTTTAAATTGGTAATGCTGAAACTATGGTGTTTTGTTAATTGATAAAATTATTAATATATAAAAGTTTCATTTCCAGATTTCTGTATATTCAAATATATTTTATTTTGTCAAGATTAAAAATGGTTAATTTTACCATAAGTTATAAGTTCCACTCAGGGTTTATAAATTGGGGCATTGAGATCCTTATATAATAATATACTTCACCTGTTCTTGGTCATACAGGTCTGCTCCGGTCCGTGAATAACATGCAAGCCGTTTGCAGAAGTAATCAATAGTTAGAGAACTTTAAAAATATTATGTTTTTTTTTAAATGTGAACTTTTCATTCGACACTAACATTGTTTGAACACAATCGATTGAGTTGTTTTGTTAATAGATAAGAAAAGTGAATTGTGACCTTAGAGGGCCATCTCAGCCTGTAATGCAGCAAGTTCTCTTCCTCTGCGGTCCGCTTAGGAATAGGAAGTGCTGGTTGACGCCCTGCAGGCACCGGAACTGAAGGCAACGTTGTTGTCGGCTGAAGACGTAGCTGTTCACATGGTTCATTGACTGTTTCCCTGAGGGAAGTCCAGCAACATGAAACCCTCTTCTTCCTGCAAGATAATTTAAAAAATCCTTTCGTTAATGCTATAAAGAGAATATACTCATCATATGATGATATATTAGTTACTGTTTATTGTAAGACTTTAGATTACCAGTTGATATAAGTCCCTATATCTGGTCCTGATTTACTTTCTTGTTTAGTTTAAGAATCTGGTGCATTCTGGCTCCTAAAGAAAGTCTTCTGTTGGTTGCAGCACCACCAGCGGCGGTTGTCATTCCAGAAGCTTTTTTGCCATCAATATGTTTTGATGGGCTCGGTTTTTCCCCGTAAATCGCCTCATGTTCTGCTATGATAGCTTCATTTGCTCTTTTAACATGCAGAAACCAGTAGCATGATATAGAGTTAGATTAGGAAGATTATATTGGCCAAAAATTTCTGATGGAAATAAGATATGTACGTACCCATTGGCATCAGTGTTCTTCCGCTCTTTCATGCCTGCTCCTGGAGCATAGAAAGTAGACGGATCTACACATAGAAAAAAAATAATGCTTATTGTGGCTGTTCCGTGGCTTCTTGAATAGCAGCCTTAGTCCCCAAATGTAACATTAATCTCAAGTTAGCAACACTCCAGGAAAACTAATCCTCTATACTAAGTAATTGATGAACACCGACCTGATTTTTGATAACCATTATGTCAAACTCGTGAACACAACCTACTCCATTATCAAGCATTAAAGCACCAGCCTGTAAAAGACTAATATGGCATTATTAGTCATAGTCAAAACATAGAAATAACATTATTTAAAGAGGCCAGCCCTGTTCATTGCAAACAACAGAGTCTAGGTTACTTGTAAGATTTATTGCGAGGTACTATTCATCAATTCAAAAATAAGAATGCACTCACCAGTTTCAGGTTCTTTAGCTACAGTGGCTGCAACTCAGCTGCAGAGAGGACTTCCTAGATGTATACACAGATTTTGCCACTATGCATGCGGTGTACATGCATTAACAAAGCGACACTGAGGGGCAGACATGTTATAGAAAATATAAAACAGTAATTAATATCCAATGATAACCAATACCTCAGGAATGTAAATTAGCACAGCTGGTATCCCCGACTATACAAACATTGATATCTCTTCTAAGTTCTTTATTGGGATTGATTGAGCTTCCTATAAATATTATAGACAAAACTTAAAACAACAACAATATTTTTTCAGAGATAAGACAATTAAGCACTATCAACACTCACCAGAAATATCAAGGTATGTCTCATGGTAAAATAGGGGTGCCATTCTCAATTGGCTTTCCTGAGCCGTTAAATATGCGCCCAAGCATGTCTTGTGATACAGAAGTTTTAGTACCTGAAATCGTACAATGAACCGAAAAGTTTAAAACAAAATATTATAAGCAATAAACTCATTGATTCTCAGAAAAGCTTAAAAGAAGAAACTTGCACAGTAAATACCTCTCCAGAGAATTGATGAGTGCTTATAAAGTTCTGAGACCAACAGAATCCAATCTAGAGTAAGTGGACAACAGGGTTCTCGCCATCAACCTCCAAGACCTGACCACGTCTCATAGATCCATCACCTAAGAGGATATTAACAATTGGACCCTGCAGGTGCATTATAAACATTTATATAACAAATATATAATTCAGTATATAAATGGCAAACTCTTCTCGTTATCAATGTCTATAATTCACTTTTCCAACGATGACCAAAGGCCCCACAACACCTGAGACAATTTTGTACTTTACAATTAAAAATCGTCAAACCTATCTCTTACAAAGATGATAGGTAGACAAAATTGCCTAGACAAGAAAAAATCAAGTTGTTGAAGGAGAGATTACTTCTTCGAGGAAGAGTAACAAAGAAAAAAGGCCAAAAGAACTACAAAAATCTAACCTCGTAAGTTTCCTCAGCTAGCTTCATCAATATTGTTACGGGGAGATGTAAGTCGAGATAGATTCTGAATATTTTGACCGCTAGTCAATGAACGTCTAAGATGTGAAGAGGGAAGAGGAAGAGGAAGAGGGAACCTAGAACTTAATTGGGCTTGTAATTTTGTTTTATAAAGCCATGTCGAAAACTATAAAAAAACCCAGTCTAAGGTAAAGCTGAAAACGGATGAGCAGTTTATGTATGGGTATGCTGATGTGGCATTTTTTGCCCCTATCTCTCTGCTGAGGTGGCAGCATGAGAAAGGGAGAAAACTTAGATTTATTATATAAGATTAACAAAAAAATTACCTCTTCACTTAAGACTTTAATACAGCGAAGCTAAAAAATAGAATCTATTTAAAATTTTGTATTGAAAATGTAAGAGAATAATTTTTATGGAACAAAATCAAAATTACTCCCTCTACTTTTTTTTTAAATATCACTTTGACACTTTTTCGTGGTACACAGAATGTGTAATTTTAGAATTTTAATACATTTTTAGCTTACTATTAATTATAAATGCATTGATTAGATAAATAAGTCTATTTTAAATGTTATTGGTTGAATATATATAATTAATACATATATAAATGCATTTCAAATATTTTCTTAATTTGTGTGGAAAATATTAAATTAACATTTAGCGTAACGAAAGATATATAAAACAACATTCTTTGTAAAATTGAGGGTTTATCCCCATTTCTACAAAACAAAAACAAAATTATGATGGAAAATTGTCTAAATTAACATTTTTATTATTTATTTTATTTTTATTTTAACACTATTTATTTTTTGTTGTAAAGAGGTAAATAGACATTTATAACTCTATGATTAACTAATCTAAACTTAAGATTTAAATTTGAGAGATAGAATTTTGAAGGGCGAGACTTATAATTTTATTAAAAATATAAATAAATACTTAAATTCAAAATTTAAAATTTAAAATTTAGAATAGTTTCAAAACGTATTTTTGAATTGAAAAAGAATATTGAATTTTTTTAAAAATCGAATAAATTATTTTAAAAAAATAAAAGAATTTATTTTTCGAATTTTAAAAGTTACAATTCAATTTTTTTTTAAATAAATATTTTTTATTTATTTAAATAATTGTTTATTTTTATAAATCAAAAGTATGAATGTCTTTTGCCTATTTAATAAAGTTTCATATTTAGATATATCTGAAAATATCCATTTAAAAAAGGTTAATATGAATGAAATTCTCCTAACTATCAGTTTCTGCTATTTTATTAAATTTAGACCCACGGCTGATCTATTCGTAAAATCAAAAAGAAATTAGTTACATCTGTAAGAGGAAACATTATCACATGGCCATCAAATTTACATGAAAGAAAAATATTTTTTCCCTGCTAAAATAATTAGAATTTCAAATGAGGCAAAAGAGAGATAAAAAGAAGAAAATTACATAAACCTAAAAAAATATGGAGAAGAGTCAAGCATCACTAGTCAACGTTTGATAAACCTCTTTTCTTCTCTCTTTCTTCTCCTTCTCATAACTCTCTCTTTCTTCGTAAAGGTACCTCTTTTGCAATCTCTCAGGACTTCTCTCATGGCAGTAAGTTTCATGAAATTACAATCGATATAGTTATTATTCAATTCTGATTTGCTAGACAAGAAAATGAACGTTTTAATATCTTTACTGACAAGGAAATAGCAAAGAGATCTTGTGTTGTTGCAATCTTGTTCAGTAATAATTGTTCTGTAGTGTCGTTATTCCGATTCTACCCTTTTGTGATGTTGAACTGATTTGAATTGTTTAATCATTATGGCTGCAAGGAGCGTTCGACCGTTCCCAAGTTTGGAAACTGGGAAGGTGAGGAGAATGTTCCTTACACAGCTTACTTTGAGAAAGCTCGTAAAGGAAGAGCTCCAGGCGGTAGAGTAATGAACCCGAACGACCCGGAAGATAACTCGGATTCGCAGTCTCAAGCACCTTCAAGACCCAAACCTGAGGAAGTTGACCCAGTTAGAAGGTCGCGTGAACGGACGAGAAGCCCAGAAGAGAGCGAGTTGAAGCAGTTTGGTGGTGATGGCAGTGGTTCATCCAACGACAAAAGACAAGGAAGGACTTCTCAGAACAATAGCTACGATAAGTCCCCGTTGCATAAAAATTCATATGATGGTACTGGAAGATCAAAGCCCAAACCAAACCTTAGAGCTGACGAAAGCGTAAGATCTCACTTCTGTTTTTTGCTTTCGTGTTCTATAGTTACAGGGCCGTCTTAAATTTAGGAGACCATAGGTGCGATTTATGAAATATTTAAATTAAAATTTATATTTGACAAATTTGGGAGTCTATTATTGGGGACCTGTTTATATAATTTTCTTCAAAATTTTAGGAGCTTAAAACCAATGTTCATAAGGCTTTGGCCTAGTAGTTATGTGTCTAATTATCTGAGATTTAAAACGTCTTTACAGCCTGAAAATGTGACGGTGGTGCCGAAATTCGGTGATTGGGACGAGAATAATCCGGCGTCGGCTGATGGGTATACACACATTTTCAACAAAGTCCGTGAAGAGAGAAGCACTGGAGCCAATGTGAGTGGATCTTCACGAACGCCTACTCACCCAAGCACCCGTACTAACCCTTCCAACAGCTCCAAAGTAAGACACTCCTTCAAGCTCATTGCTTCGTATATGAAACTGTCTTTTTAAAAACATTTTTTCTATATGTTTCTGAAATTAACAGTGTTGCTGCTTTGGCTTTGGAGGAAACTGAAAGGGAAACGTTTGTTTCGGGAACAATATTTTATATAGTTATCGAGAAATCAGTGTGTTGTAATCTTAATGATCAGACGGTCGAGTATTAATAGAATAAGACATATCAGTCACACTTTTATAGTATAGTTTTTGTATGTATGTTTTGTAATTTTTTCATTTTTCATTTTCCTTTTTGTGTGTTTCAAGTCACACATTCCATTTTCGGAACTGCTTGCAGATTCATTATATCTTGCTACGGGCTCACCAATTTGGTTAACCGATTTAAATGGAAACTGAGAAAAGAAAAAAAAAAGCAATTCATATATTTACGTTCATGAACAGAACAAATTTACTAATATCTCTATACTAGGTGATTTTCCCGTGCTTATGCACGGGTATAAATATTTATAAAAGTAAAATTTTATAATAATTGATTGATATTTAGTTTTAGTTTTGTATCAATTTATATGTATAATTTATATTAATAAATATTATATTATTCTAATTATACATATGACTTTGGATATATTATTGTCAGTTTAATTATTTTTTGGATCAATAGTCGATTTGGTTATCAATTTGGTATATTGGATAATATTTATTTTTCGAATTCAGCTATAATATTTTTTTAATTGTAAATATAATAAAACTTCAATTAATTTTCTTATTTTCATTTCGGTTGGTTATTATCTTAGATATGTAAATATATTAAAATTAAATTATATATAACTTAATATATATATATATTGTGCTTAAACTAAAATAAATAATAAGCTGAAGTGTTTGATTCAAAATTACATAAATGAATATAATGATAATATTTTGAAGTCTCATGCATATATATAAATTCTACAAAAGAATAAAATGTAATTGGTTAATATTTTATTTTTCTTTTTAATATGCTTTGAGTCAACCTCTAATTTATATATAAAATTAAATATATTATTACTACTATAAAATTATATGTTCTTATTGTAGTTAGATGTTTAATTTTGGATATAAATTAGATTAGTCGAGTCATTCATGTTGTGAATATATTGAGTTAAAATTGAATTATAATTACTTTTTATTTTAGTTAAGTCCAATCAAATTAGTTGTATTTATCGCTTAAATATACATGTATTTTCATAATATTTATTTATTTCTTATTTTAGTTAAGTCAAATCAAATTAATTATATTTATCGTTTAAATATACAAGTATTTTCATAATATTTATCAAATTATATGTTGATTTCTAAAAAATATTAGAAAATAAAGTGTAACTGATAAATTTTGGATGTTCATGAACATATATATTTTTATTATTTTGAAAATATATTATTTGTTATTTAAAAATATATATTAATGGGGTATATTACTATTTTGTGAATTTTCCTTTTTAATAAAATCATATATATATATATATATATATATATTTTTTTTTCGTTTTTAAATCTGTTTTAAATTTTAGAAATATTTCTTTTTTATTATATATGTTATTTGGAAAAAGTAAAAAAGAAACTAAATAAAAAAATTAATAATAAACTTAAAATCTAACAATTCATTAAGGGTATCTATGTAATCAACCATCGCAAGAGTTAACGTGAGCGCGACACGTAGAAAACTGACTTCTCAAATAATATTGTAGAGATTTGGAGTCTTGTAGACGAGAGTGTACTGCAATCGTAAGCTTTTTTTTTCTTACAATTTGAAACGTCTTCCAGTTTAATAAGGTACCTACTGTAGTTGAAGATTTCTTTCAACGGATCATACATCAGGGGTAAAACATTAAGAAGCAACACTACTTGTACTTCCTATTGCACTTCAAGACTAAGATGACTTAGCTCTCCGATGATCTTCAAGAAATCAGCTATATTTTCATTGGTTGTTTGCTGATCTTTCATCTTGTATGACTTAGGCACTTAGCTCTCTTATGATCTTCAAGAAGTCGATATATCAGTTTTCATGGGTTGATGATAATACACTTACCAAAACAAGAGAGTTTTTGTTCAGCTATGTTTTTCAAGTATATGTACAATTTTCTGGAATGAGAAAAATAAGAGGTACCATGGTGAAGCCCATCAACACTCATACCATCTTATCAACTTCATAGACAAACAACTACTCAACAAAATCTCTCGCTTCAAAGAAGATAATAAAACATTTAAATGTCCCTTAAATGTTTGGATCAAGTTAGTAGCTGATTAAAAATGCTTTCTTAACTGGGATTATTATGGGTGTGACTAGTAAAATATTAGAGTAAAAGAGAAAATATATACAGACTAAATGAGAGGTAAGAAAAAAAAAAGATAGAAGAACTGTAAAATATACAATTAAACTAAATATCATGTGTCATGTGTCTCCATCCAATTACGCCGTCTCAAACATCGACGGTTCTTCACAGAATCAACTATATTCAAGAAAAGAAATCGAGAAAAGACAGTTCACGCCTCCACTGCCATGTGCTCTCATTCCAACAAGTCGGAGAAACACCCTGAAATCTAGTGCAATGAGACTTAACCGTACTGAAACACTCTGCCTCATATCCGACGTTTGCTCAAACATGACCAACCAGAACGAGGGTGATGATATTATGATTAGGTATATCCAGGTTACAAACTATTGGCTTCGACACGGATGTTGAGGTCCAAGATTTTGACCTGACTAGACCAGTCAGTCTATCATCCAATTCCATTGTCCGAAGTGTCTTTATGAAGGCTAAGCTAGCTTTTGAGACTCACCTAGTCTCATTGAGAAGCTTTATTGAGTTTAGAACTAATCGTGCCAACTTCAGTGTCAAATCAAATTGACAGAGCTTTTTCTTCTCGTTGTTGTCCAATGTTTTGAAGCTTCTTACCAAAAGCTCTTGCGGGAAACAATCCAACCGCTTAAATCAACGTTGATTTCGATTATCAATTGTTCTTGCGAACAATCGCTTTAAGGATTAAGGTGAAATTTTTTCATGGGGTTCTTCATCTTGCTGAGGCTTCTTATAGGTTTTATTCTTCTATGTTTCTTAATGCTTTTTATTTTTGTTGTACCGTCGAGCATGCCTCCAAAATCTTCTACTTCAGTTGTAAATAATGTTCATTGAGTTTTCTAATATAATTTTGTGTTACCAAAAAAAAACTAAATATGATGTGTTATTCTAATTTTATCTTACTAAAAGGCAAGGAAAAATATTACCCCAAATTAAGAAATGACAAAACATCACTAGCAAGAAAAAGAGTAAATATTTTTCTTCAATTTTCACATGACCAGTACGAAGTAGAGTAACTTGAACTAATAATAATTTTGTATTCTTCTTTTTACTCTATAAATACTATATAGTCAGATCCTAAAATTTTTATTTCTAATCTAGTAGGTCATCATCACTTGTTTACAAAAATCAATGTATTTATAAGTAAAATACCATTCATATAAAATTGTAAAAATGTCATTTGATTAAAATTTTAAAAATGTTTACAAAAATCAATGGATTAGGCTGGATCGTGGGGAATGGTAACAAGATCAGAGTTTGGAAGGACCCATGGTTGTCTTGTGACAAACCACTGCGACCATACGGACCTCCTAATAAGCATGATGGCGATTGTTGGTTAGCGATCTCCTTTGCCCCATTACCAATACGTGGAATAGAGATCAAATACAGTCCCTTCTACCTCAGTATGACAAACTTATCCAAGCTATCGTGACGAGCTCAGCGCCTGCAACAGACCAATTGGCCTGGCTTCTTGATTAGTCGGGATGCTACACTACAAAGAGCGGATACGGAATTGGCATGACGAGCAACACTGACCAAGCAACCAACCTGTCACCTTTCAACTGGACTAAGAGTATCTGGAACATCAAAACATCACCAAAATTAAAAGATTTTCTTTGGAAAGTGGCTCGCAAGGCAATTCCAGTTAGTTCAAACTTAGTGAAACGCGGGATACAAGCTTTTAAATGTAAAACATGTGATGGTGAGGAGGATGACCTCCATGTCTTCCTCAACTGCAGTATTGCTCAGCAAGTATGGAGTCTGGCCCCTTTGGTGAATATACCAACAGCCCCCATTTCCTCGATCACCTCTCTTATCTCCATCGCACCAACTCTTACAATCCTCCCTCCAGTAGGTATGACCATCCCCCTATGGCCTTGGATCTTATGGAACTTATGGAAGGCGAGAAACAAATTCTGCTTTGAAAATAAAGCCTTTTCCGCCATGGAAATTATTACCAAGTCCATCTCTGATGCGCGAGAATGGCAAATGGTGCAAGACCCCTCCACCGCTTCGGTAAAGTCACGATCATCCCTCAATACCACTATCCCTGGACCACATCCTCTTGAGGTATCACCTGATACCCTGATATGTAATGTTGATGGTGTTTGGGATGCTCGTTATGGGTTTTGTGGTACAGGGGGAGTCTTCTCGGGCTGTAGCAACCGATTACAATTGGAACCTATAGCTTCCTCACGCAAACACGTTTCTTCGGCGTTAATGGCTGACTGCCTCGCCATCCGTTTGGCAGTGATGTATATTGCCTCGTTGAATATTAAATCCCTGATGATCCGGTCTGATTCCCTCTCCTTGATCAAGTTATTGAGGAGTGGAGGGTCGATACCAGCTTTGTTCAGCATTTTTATTTGACATATACCATTTCAGTGCTTTATTCGATGTTATTTCTTTTTCATATGTACCGCGGGTAAGTAATGGGATGGCTGATTCTGTGGCTAAATCAGTCCTCTCATTGCTAAGCTCCCCCGGATCATGGAGTGTAAAACTTTTCTAGTTATGAAATGTGTGTTTGCTCAAAAAAAAATGTCATTTGAGTCCAAGTTATTTTAAGTATGTTTGCCACAACTAGACCAACCAATGGTGTTTTAATTTGCATCAAGATAGCATATATCCATCTTCTTTTTTTGTCACTGAGCATATATCCATGTATTTCAAGTAGGTTGTCAGAAAAATGTTTATAACAACTAGATCAAAGAACAGATCATTTGTTAATATGTATAATTTAATAATTATTTAACAAAAATAAAAAGAAATCGAAAATGTATGACAAATACTTGTATTTAGGCCTACTTGCAATGCTACTTTGACTTCTGGACTAGTCGGAAGTATCTGCACAAAAAAAACGTTAATGAACGTTATCTTTTACTGCAAGCTGTATAAACGGACGGTCCAGATCAGTCCTACTCCGTAGATGCGATCCGCAAAAGATCCTTCCCTCTCCTTCAGCGCCAACGTCAAAGTTTTTGGCGGTCGTTCAAAAACATTTCGAAAATTTAAAGATTTTAACCCGCAAAAAAAACACTCAAAACCTTCCTTTTGCAGAAGAAATATACACCTCAATCAACCAGATCTTCTTCTTCCTCACACACTCTCTCTCCCTCTCCATCTTTGTTCCTTTTCGCTTAATTTAATTGTCTTAAAGAGAGAGAGAACTCGAATCTCAGGTCTTTTGTCTGTGGTTTCCCCTCTCTCTCAGTCCTATTCTGGGCAATTTCTAGAGAAAATTAGGGTTCGATTTAGGGCTTTTTTCTACACAATCTGAATCCAAGTTTCGTGCGAAACCCATTTTCACGGATATGGTGAGGATCCAGAAAGTAGAATCCTTTTACGCTAAGCTTCGCGAATCAGCTACTTCCGCCGGTTCTGAAAACCCTCTTCTGATATTCCCTTCCTCCTCCGACGTCGATTCGATCTGTGCCCTCAAGGTCATCACTCACATCCTCGAATCAGATTCGATCCAGTACTCGTGTTTCCCCGTCTCGTCGTTTCTCGAGATCCACAAGTACGCAGGTCCTGGGCTCTGTTCTTCCTCGGAGAGTCCTGTCACTATACTTTTGATTAATTGGGGTTGTCACCGTGATTTGAAGCTCGTGCTTAAGTTAGGTCCTAAGGCACGTGTCTTTGTGGTTGATAGTCATAGGCCTATTCATTTGCATAATCTGAGTGATTATAATGAGCGTGTTGTTGTTCTTCATACTGATGATGATGAGAGACAAGCAGATCTTGCTTATGATTTCCATGTGTCGAAGTTAGCTAACGAGAGTTATCAGAGAGGAGATGAGAGTGATGATGAAGAAGAAGAAGAAGAGGAGGATGAGGAGGAGGAAGAAGAAGAGGGTGATAGGCCAAGTAAGAGGAGGAAGATGGATGATGGTGTGAAGCTTTTCAAGAAGTTAAAGAGAGATTATTACAAGATGGGGACTTTCCATGGGAAGCCATCTGGGTGTTTGCTTTTTGAGCTGTCTCACTTTTTAAGGAAGAACACTAACGAGTTGTTGTGGCTGGCTTGTGTTTCCTTGACTGATCAGTTTGTTCACGAGAGGTTAACAGACGAGAGATACCAAGCTGCGGTGATGGAGCTTGAGCAACACATCAACAGCTCCGGGAACATAGACAAGGTCACTTCCGTTACTTTGAAAGACGGAACCAAGGTTCGAGCACCAGACTGTTCGAGAATCTCTTACGAAGAAGAGCCTAGGCTTATGCTGCTTAGAGAGTGGAACTTGTTTGACTCCATGCTCTGTTCCTCGTACATTGCGACGAAGCTCAAGACGTGGAGTGATAACGGGATCAAGAAGCTTAAGCTTCTTCTTGCACGTATGGGTTTTGCGCTTATCGAGTGCCAGCAGAAGTTTCCTTACATGAACAACGAGGTGAAGAGGAAAATGAAGCAAGAGTTTGATCGGTTTTTGCCAGAGTATGGTCTAAATGATTTTTACTACAGGAGCTTCTTGAGGCTTCATGGATACAGCTCGAAAGTCTCCGCTGCTGATGTTGTGTATGGTATTACAGCACTTCTTGAATCGTTTCTTGGTTCAGGTGGATCCTCTGCTTCACAACAGTTTGGAGAAGCTTATGATGCTTTGTCGTTGAACAATCTGGATAAGCTTCAGTCTGGGATGCAACAAGCAATCAAGGTCCAAAGAGCAATTCTCAGACAAGGAAGTAAAGCAATCACCAAAACAGGATGCATCAGAAGTGGAAGGAAGTTCAGATGGGTGAAGGTTGATGATACCATTGATGCTAAGTATTTGGGATATCCTCAGGCTTTGACCAAGTTCTGTTACTTTCTAATGGACGCTTTGAGGGAGAAAGGAGCTAGGATGAAGCCGATACTATGTGCTTGTGCGTCTCAAGAGCTAGGGAAGATACTTGTGGTTGGAGTTTGTGGGAAGCCGAGGCTTGGTGCGGTAAGAGGGAATGCGTTTGGTAATGCTTTTAGAAAAGCAGCTCAAGAGAGTAGAGCCGATTACTTTCATGAGCTGTTTGAGTCTTCATGGATCGTCTTAGATGCTTCTGCAGTTAACTCTTTCATGATTAGATTAACTGAGAAGCTTTGACAGAGAAGCTTTGACATAGGACTCTCAAGGTATCTTTTTGTTACTCGACTCAGTGTGTTTACCTTTTTTTATAGTCCTCAGGTTTCCTTTTATTTCACATTGTTTGGCATTTTACGAAACTTTGTAATAGACAGAATCTGTTATCAATCATGTAACTTGTTTAATCAAATAACCAAAGAGGTTTATGTGAAAATGATTAGTCCTTTGATTTCTTCTATCGTGGTACCAAAAAATAGGACAGCCTTAAAAACTTGAGCAAGAGATTGTCTATTTGGAGGGCATCTTTCTCCGTAGTGTTGTCCCGCGGTTGATCTCCTGACCATCTCCAGACAACCGTAGGTCATGTAAGCACTTGCTAGTGTGGTGGACCTGTGTGCGTGATGTTGCAGAGCCATTTGATTCACCAATCTCTGAGGTGGTGAGTGAATCCACCGTCTTGTTGACATTCTCTTATGTAATCAAGAGTTAGTTAGAGCACCTCCAATGAAGATTTTTGAAGGATTTTTTTTAAAAAAATAAAATAAAAAATAGTTAAGAACCAATTATTATTGGCTCATTTTTCTTTTTTTTTTTTCTTATTGTTTCTTTCTCTTTTAAGAACCCATGAGGGGTTTTATTACCATTGGACATGTCAAAATATTACAACTCTAAAAAAAATAGTTTACAAATTTTAAAAATTTATAATTAAAATAATGATAAACATCTATGAAAAGTTCTTACCATTGGAGATTATCTTATGATCTGAAGTTCGTTAGTGTCTACCATCTCTTAAGGTATGCTCTACCGTTAACAGAAACGAAATCATACGATTTTTACTGAAGTTCCCACACTAAAAAAACCTGATAAGATTAACCTCAAGAACCAATCCAAAAATCAAAGATGGAATTTATCGTGAATAAAAAACAAAAAAGCATATATATATATATATATTGATATATAATTATACGTTAATTATTAATTTAGCTATAAAGATCTTTTAAAAATTTATATCTTATCGAATCATTTCAGTTTTTTACTGGCCCAAATTAATTTAGCATGATTATCAATCGAATAATATTTTTTCTAGACAACTGTTTTACAAGTTAACATCTATTATACTAGATGACCATCAATTTACAGTTTCTAACAATAATTAAATATGGGTACCCCCTTGCCGACTTCTCCTTCTTAATTCTTGTGAAATACTAGTTGCATACTCCCCGCGCAAGCGCGAGGCCGAGATCATTATATTTGAATATATTTTTTTCGATTGTTGGTTTACTAGATTCTTCTAATGACACCAAATAATAATGAAATGAAAAGAATGTAGTAAGAGTGTAAAGTGAAAATATTGTATATCTAATGTGTTAAATGTTATTTATATGCGAAGTACGGTTTATAGGAATAGTTAGGCTATAATATAGTTTTTAGTGTGTAAAAGTAGGTGTTTATTATTTTTTTTTCTGTAAATAGTTTTTATATCGTATGTTAAAACTTGATATAATTCTATATTTATAGTATTTATATTTGTATTAAACGATTTATCAATTTAAAAATAACCTTAATTAAGTTAATATTCGTTGTTTAAGTTTCATTAGATAAGTTTTTAAAATATGTTTTTTTGTAAGTTTGGGTTTTGTTCATAAATGATGTGGCATTTTTATCTACGGCGTCATCAACTGTGGGAATCCATTCGCCGAAGTCTGGAGTCGGTGGTGAGGAATGTTTTCAATGAAATTATAGTAGTTATTAAAGTGTAAGAGAAATTACATATTCATTTAATAAATAACGAAAAATACTTACATTTTTGTTGTTTATTTTATTTTATTTCACATACAATTTTTTTGAAAATATATTAGGAATGTGTTAAATGTTATTTAAATGTGAAGTAAGGTTTATAGGAATAGTTAGGCTATAATATAGTTTTTAGTGTGTAAAAGTAGGTGTGTTTTTTTTGCTGTAAATAGTTTTTATATCGTAGGTCAAAACATGATATAATTTTATATTATAGTATTTATATTTTTATTATACGATTTATCAATTTGAAAATAATCTTAATTAAGTTAACATTCGTTGTTTAAGTTTCATTAGATAGGTTTTTATATATGGTTTTTTGTAAGTTTGAGTTTTGTTCATAAATGATGTGGCATTTTTACCTACGGCGTCATCGACTGTGGGAATCCATTCGCCTGAGTCTGAAATCGGTGGTGAGGAATGTTTTCAACGAAATTATAGTAGTTATTAAAATATGAGAGAAATTATATATTCATTTAATAAATAACGAAAATAATTAATTTTTGTTGTTTTTTTATTTTATCTCACATACAAATTTTTTGAAAATATATATTAGGAAATATGTGCAATGATTTAACTTTTTGAGCTTCTTAATCTATATTATTTAAGCCTCATTAAGCCATCCACGTAGGCAGCCGCGTGGGATTCACTTTTTTTTTTTTTTTGGTCGGTTTGTTTTTGGATTCATTTTTATTATTTTTGGGTTGAACTATATTATAATAGGATAGTTTTAAGGCTCTTTAAGCCATCCGCGTGAGACTTTTTTTTTTTTTCTTTTTTATTGTTCGTTTTTGCATCCATTTTTAACTATTTTTTTGGTTTGGACTCATTAAACATAAAAACCTTACAAACAAAAAGTCCATATGATAATAACCCAAATCAAAAAATCAAAAATAAATGATGGATGTGTGGGTTGAACCCACGATCTTGTATGCTTAATTAGACACCTTATACCATTTGGCTAAAGTGTATTTCATTGTTTGAAATCATCTTACCAAGACTATAGGTTTTTAAAAAATATCTACGGGACCCACAAAACTGCTGACGTGGCGCGTTGTGGAGCCTAGAAAGTCTACTATTATAATATAGATTGGGCTCTATGGCTTTAAAATTTCTTCCAATTGAATGTAGCTAAAAATCCTCCTTTAATGTGTTTCTATTATTACGTTTACTAGCTGCATAACTTCCGCGCAAGCGCGGGGCCGGGATCTGTGTTTTTTTCGGTGTTGGTTTAGTGAGTTATTCTAATAATACCAAATACTGATGAAATGGAAAGAATATAGCAAGAGTGCAAAGTGAAAATATTGTATATATAATGTGTTAAATGTTATTTATATGCGAAATAAGGTTTATAGGAATAACTAAATTATAATATAGTTTTTAGTGTATAAAAATAGATGTCTGTATTGTTTTTTTTTATGTTGGAAATAGTTTTTATATCGGATGTCAAAACTTGATATAAATATTTATTTCTAGTATTTATATTTGTACTAAACGATTTATCGATTTGAAAATAACTTTAATTTAAGTTAATATTTGCTGTTTGGGTTTCAATAGATAGGTTTGGATATGTTTTTTTGTAAGTTTGGCCCTAAGCTTTTAGATATTCCGAAAAGCCCAAATTAAAAAAAAAAAAATTATAGGCAAGCACTGCACTTTGAACCCGCGCACTTGCAGTACCAACTTCTCATCACCAACTTACACCACTGGGTCATTTCATCACTCATCGATAACATTTAATCTTACAAAATGTTATATGTTTTTGTTTTCCCTAATAACACGCGCGTAGCCCACAAACTTGCTGACGTGGACACGCTGAGGAGCTTCAAAAGTGTACTATTATTATATAGATTTCTCGTTCTACAAATGTACGTGCGGACGGTCTTGCTAAAGACGCCCGTTCACGTCCACAAAACTTGTCTCTCTTTGAGGTTAAGGATCAACTAAGATTAGCCTTAGAAGCTAACTTGTATGAAACCTTATGAATGTTTGGTTGAAAATTGAATGTATCTAGAAGATATATTAAATAACATAATTTTTTTTTTTTTAAGATTTCATTTTATATTCGAACATTTTGTTCTATATAGGTTAACTTGTATGAAACCTTATGAATGTTTGGTTGGAAAAAAAAATTGAATGTAGCTAGAAGATATATTAAATAACATAAAAAAATAAATTTTAAAGATTTCATTATGTTCAAGTAAGGTCGTACATCCGTGTTGGTCACCAGAGAATTTACATGCGAACTTGTTCTGGTGCCCGAGACCAAAGACCGTTACCCAACCATGATCCATCTTCGGGTGTGCGTCCACGCCGCTAAAGGGTTCGGTCTCTAGTCTAGACCACTACGGTGGAGCCATGACACTCGGTTATCAAAAAAAAAAAATATATTCATTCTATATTCGAATATTTTGTTCTACATAGAACTCATGAAATAAAATAAATATTTTTTTGTTAAATACATTGGTATAATTCATATAATATTTCTATTAATATACAATATATACTCTTCTGTTTACTATTAGTAATCAATATAATATTTCTATCTACGATGTAGTAATCAATATGAAAATCACATGCATATATAATTGGAATCAAGAATTCACATACAGAAAAGTGCAATAGAAATCGAGAGAATTTGATCCAAAAAAGATCAAGAGAATAAAATAAAACTTTGAAATGGTTGCTTGCTTTAAAAAAAAAAAAATATTAACCTAGCTATAATTTTGTATATTTTTCTCCCCAAGTTTCTTTCTCTTCAGTCCATTTAGTTTGGTTGCTTGATTTTATTCTTTGAGATTCTTCAACTTGGGTTTATGAAGGCTCTACAAACAAACAAAAACAATTACTACATTAGTCTCGTTTATTCATTAAACTATATATTTGCAGATTCAGAACATAACCTTTTCAACGAGTTGTAGTGCTTATTCTTGTGCGTTTTCTTCTGCCAAAAATGTTCATGAACCACTCTGGTTTGTAAGAAATCAGTATGCATCCAATCGTAAATCCAAAGATGATACCAGGTACGAAACCAACTGCAGCTGCTACCCAACTCAACACCTCTTCATGTTCTTCCTCTGTCTCCAGCGTTTCATCATGCCGTTGCGGAGTTGATGTATTGGTGTCTCTGCAAGCTTCATCAAGAGAAGGGCCGAAAAGTCCAGAGTTTTTCCCAAAAGAAGAGCATTTTTGCGTCCGAAACTGAGTGCCCCCTGGTACTAAACCCGCAAGGTGGTTATGAGAGAAGTTCATGTGTGAAAGGTACGAGAGACTTCCTAGCCCTTGTGGAATCCCTCCGGAAAGCTTGTTCTGGGAAACATCAAGCGACTCGAGTTCTGTCAGGTTGGCCAAAGATGATGGGATGTGTCCATCGAAAGCATTGGTTGACAAGTTAAGCACATGAAGCTCTTTCAGTAGACCAATGGACTTTGGAATCTCTCCTTCAAATTTGTTTCCGGAGAAATCAATTGCAGTGTATATTTTCAGGATACGTACCAGCTCCATTGCTACGCCTTTACTCATTAAAACCATTGAATCATGGTAATATAGTGATCCCATGTACTTCTCACCATCATCATGTTGCTCTACTTCGTTTTTTCCAAGCGAGGACATTGCAGTCCAGCTCACAAAGAAATCTGATGGCAAAGTTCCATTGAAGTGATTGTGCGATATGTCCATGATTCGCAACTTAGCAAACCGAGTTTTGTGTATGGGTCCGTGGAATGCGTTGGACCGTAAGACGAGAATTTGAAGCTTTTGGAGGGAACTCAACCAAAACGGAAACGAGTCGTTGATTCTGTTGCTTCCCACATTCAAAACTTCAAGAGTAAGAGAGTGGACTAGAGATCTTGGAAGTTTTCCTACGAGTTGGTTATGACCGACGTCAAGCGAGATTAGATTTCCATATATGTTCTCGGGAAGATCTCCAGTAAGACGATTTTGACGAAGGATAAGACGTGAGAGATTACTCTTGAGATTTCCCATACACCGAAGGATCGGACCGTTGAAGTTGTTGTTGGATAAGTCCAGAGTGTTTAGAGAGAGCAGCGAACATATGAAGGAAGGAATCTCTCCCGTGAAATTGTTATCGGAAGCAAACAAGTGAGTCACTTTAGTACCCGATTGTCCAAGTCTTGTCGGTCTTTCAAAACCGCTGAAAGTGTTGTTCGAAAGATTCACAAAATGTATTAGCTTCCATAACCATCCAGGCACTTGACCTTTGATTTTGTTGTTGGAAACGTCTAGCTCGGTCATACCATACTCTCGGCTTCTTAAAATCTCCGGAAACTCGGTGATACCGCAATCTGACAGTAACAAAGAACTCAACCCTTGCAGAGGTTGGTTTGCAATGGCTGAGCTTTTGTTTGTGGTTGAAACATGATTCCCTGAGAGATCTAACATAGATATAGACTTGAGATGCAAGGATAAGACTGCATTCAAGTCAATAGTAGTGGTGGTTTTCAAATGGGATAGGTAAAGCTGCTTAAGCCCCTTGATCTGGGAGAAAATACTAAAATCAACTGGGCCTTGCATGTTGAATTGGGAAATATTAAGAATCACAAGGTTGACCAATTTGGAAATGGATATTGGGATGGGCCCTCTCAAGTTGTTATTACCGAGGAATAAGGACACAAGATTAGATGGTAAAGATACATTACCAAACTCAAGAGTGCCACTGAGCAGGTTATTGCTCATATCAAGATATCTCAGAGAAGAAATTGCAAAGAGGGAAGAAGGGAGAGTTCCAGTGAAGGAGTTTACAGATGCATCAAAGTATAACAAGTTGGAGAGTGAATTGATATTAGCGGGAAATGTGCCTGTGAAATGATTATATGAGATACCTAAAATTGACAACTCTGTTAGATTTAGTAGCGCAATGGGAAATTTGCCGCTCAAGTTATTAGCTTTGAGCGTTAAAACGTTTAACCGTTTTAGACTACCAAAAGAAGATGGGACTTCACCATCAAAATCATTATGTTCAAGGCCGAGAATGGTAAGAAGAGAAAGGTTTCCAACTGAAAATGGAATTTTACCAACAAAATGGTTATTAGAGAGGACAAGAGTGGTGAGATGCGGAAGATTTTCAGTTATAGATGATATTTCACCACTAAAATCATTATTAGAAAGGTCGAGAGCGGTGAGATTTGATAGGTTTCGAATCGATAAAGGTATCCCACCACTGAAAAGATTATTTGAAAGATCAAGAGAAGTTAGATGAGAAAGGTTTCCAATTAAAGACAAGACTTCACCTCTCAAACTATTATATGAAAGGTTAAGGGTGTCTAGAAAAAAAAGATTTCTCAGCTTAAAAAGACTAGTATTGGAATGAAACCGACCTTGGAGGCAGCTAAAGCTAAGGTCTAGCTTGATCACCTCTCCAGATTTGAGATCACACGTGATACCATCCCAATCACAGCAGTCCCTGTTATACATCCATGACTCCATCGGAATAGGATTAAAATTGTTAACAAGACAGCTATCACGAGACTTCGAAATCTCAAACTCATTCTTGAACTCAAGAAGCAAATCCCTTTGTTCAGGACGACATAACTGTTTAGTATGAGCCGCATGAGTATCTCCAAAACTAAAAATGAAGGAAAAGAGAAAAGAAAGAGTAATAAGCATGAGACTCATTGAGCTAGAGAAGGAATAGTAAAGATTAACGAAGGAGTTTTACACTTGCATCAAGGTACAAATTTGGAGAGTGAATAGATATCAAACTGTTGGATCTTCCTTGAATATATACTGAAAAAGTAGAGGAAAGAAAATTGTTATTGTAAAAGGATTTCATGCCCATCTCTTAATATATATATATATATATATATATATATATATATATATATAATAAACTGTAATCCACCCAAGATAAATCCAATCAGCTTGACTCACTAACTAGTCTTTCCACAAAGTCGGACAGAGAGGGCGGCCGGTAAAAGTCATTGTGCTGAATAGTCGCTTCTACGCGTTTTTGGTTCCATTATTGGAAATTTCGTTTTAAACTAAATTAGAAGCTAACACATTCCACAGTATCTTTTTTATAATATAAAACAGAGCCAGTTAACAATTCTAAAACTGACATGTGTCATTTATTATTTTTAATAAATTTAATTATTTGTTTGTTTTAAAAGTAATTATTTTCAGATTTTTTCTTTTGCAAAACCATCCTCCATAATCTTTAACTTCTTTTATTTCTACATTTACTTTGGCAAAACCATTTCTCCATGATTTGTAACTTCTTTTATTTCTACATATGTAAAATCTAAGTTGTAAGTAGGAGCATCCTTAACCCTAATAGTCCGTTTTTTTAATCTGATTTTTAACAAAAAAAAATTAAAAAAAAACAATTGTAAGTTGCCACATATCAGTAGGATCCGTGATTAGCATAAAAATGGTCTCTTAGAGAAAATGTATAAGGGCAGCTCCACTTGTGAGCTTGAGCCCGAGTTCTTAAGTTTTTTTTTATTAATTTTTTTTCAGAAGTAAAAAAAAAGAAACTAATCGTGGGATGACACGTGTTAGTAGAACCCGTGACTATGTTAAGAATTACCTATTAAATGAGAGTTTTAGCAATCAAATCCTTAACAAAAACGTAGGACTCATGATTTGTTTATCATTATTATTTTTTTTTAAAAGCTAAAAACATCTCAAAAATTCACCAATAGAAATGGTCTAAGAGTTGGTTTTTAAGAAAATAGTGGAGCCTACTTGCTAAGAGTTGTACTAAAAGACCTTTTTAATGGTGTTCTAACTGGATAAGAACGGCAGCAAGAAAAAAAAAAGAACTGCAACAAGAAGACGTAGACGTTGCTTCAATGTTTAACACTGCTTTCATTTAATATTCTGCTAAATGTTCTTAATTGGCTTCAGGTGTTCCTATCTACTTTTTCTTTGCTAATGTTTTGATTATAAAAGTTTCCAAATCTTTATTCGTTTGGAGGTCTTTTATATTTACACATTGCCCAACATTTTTGATCATAATGACAACAACACTGTGCTATGTTTTGCTCTCATACTATAAAAAAGTATAGTTAGGTCTCTTTTCACATATGTTTTTTTTATTTATATTGATACTAGGTGATTTTCCCGTGCTCATGCACGGGTATGAATATTCATAAAAGTAAAATTTTATAATAATTAATTGATATTTAGTTTTAGTTTTGGATCAATTTATATGTATAATTTATATTAATAAATATTATATTATTCTAATTATACATATGACTTGAATATATTATTGTCGATTTTATTATTTTTTGGATTAAAAGTCGGTTTGGTTATCAATTTGGCATATTGGAAAATATCTATTTTTCAGGTTCAGCTATAATATTTTTTATTCTAAATATAATAAGATTTTGATTAATTTTCTTATTTTCATTTCGGTTGGTTATTATCTTAGATATGTAAATATATTCTTAGATATATAAATATACTATGGTTAAATTATGTATAACTTAATATATATTGTGCTTAAAATGAAATAAATAATAAGCTGAAGTGTTTGATTCAAAATTACATAAATGAATATAATGATAATATTTTGAAGTCTCATGCATATATATAAATTCTACAAAATAATTAAATTGTAATTGGTTAATATTTTTTTTATTTTTAATATGCTTTGAGTCAACCTTTAATTTATATGTATAAGATTAATTATATTATTATTATTATTATTATTATTATTATTATTATTATTATTATTATTATTATTATAAATTATATGTTCTTATTGTAGTTAGATGTTTAATTTTGGATATAAATAGATTAGCCGAGTCATTCATTTTGTGAGTATATTGAATTAAATATATTTTTAAATTAAAATTGAAGTATAATTACTTTTTATTTTATTTAAGTCAAATCAAATTAGGTTTATGTATCGCTTAAATATACATGGATTTCATAATATTTATTTACTTTTTATTTTAGTTAAGTCAAATCAAATAAGTTTTATTTATCGCTTAAATATACATGTACTTTCATAATATTTATCAAATTATATGTTGATTTCTAAAAAAAATATTAGAAAATAGAGTGTAACTGATAAATTTTTAGATGTTCATGAACATATAAATTTTTATTATTTTGAAAATATATTTTATGTTATTTAAAAACATATATTAATGGGGATATTACTATATTGTGAACTTTCCTTTTTAATAAAGTCATATTATAGACATATAATTTCGTTTTTAAATTTGTTTTAAAATTTTAGAAAGATTTCCTTTTTATTATATATGTTATTTGAAAAAAAGGTAAAAAAAACTAAATAAAATAAAATTAATAATAATCTTAAAATATAACAATTCATTAAGGGTATCTATGTAATCAACCATCGCGAGAGTTAACGTGAGAGCGACACGTAGGAAACTGACTTCTCAAATAATATTATAGAGATTTTGCATTTGAGATGTCTTTGCTAAACATGCATTATCTTTATTCTCCTCGAGAATGCAAGAGAATGTTTATATTGTGCTACTTTATATAAGATTTGAATATGTTTTTATATTTGTTTCTCATTTCAGGGTGAAAAAAAAAAGAGAAAATAGTTTTTTTAACCCAAATAGCTTTGGACATTGTCATCTTAGGTTAATTTGATTCACTTATTGTCTCATTAGGATAAATATTTTCTAATTGGCAATCCTACCCTTAAATTATATAGTTTTAGTTATTAATTCGTAATTAGGTTAATTATAATTATAAAAATTGAAATTTGTTTTTAATAAATATTAAAATAT